GACAAGGGCAACTCAAAAAGAGCCAGGTAATCATAATTTTTAAACATTTTATTTTAGCTGTAACCAAGGTTAAGAGCCATCCCTAGTTACAAAACTGTATAATCTCTAATTAAAAATGCAGCAATTTCACTTAGCCCTCCCATATTTAAATCTTTTAATTACTTTACCAGATGGATTCTAATGTTAATATAGCCTTTTGTGTAAATTACTGGAACTTTCTGAAACCTACTCAATCTTGTCCCCTCAAGATATGCAAATATTATATAGATATAGATCATGGCTCTAAGCTGTCTTTAATTTGAGGAAAGATGCTTAACAGCTAATTGAAGTGTTCTAGCTGCTGAATTTGTGGGTTAGTCCCCCACCCCCAAAAGTACACACATGTAACTATAGATTTATTATGTCATTAACCCCGAAGATACAGAAACAGGAAGGGGCTTTGTTGATTAGGGTCTAATCCTATGCACGTTTAAACAGAAAAAGGACCTACAGTTCCCAACATGGCCCAGTCCTGGCTGGGTCGTACAAGGAGTTGCAGGGTATTATTTTCTCTCTAAACATGCACCGTACAAGACCCAACCTTGTAAAGAGAGTACTATGAATGTATATAATACTGCAGCACAAAACATGCTACACCTCAGTTCTATGATTGCAATATCCCCGCTTCCTTGAGCGACAACAAGTTTTAGGGGCAACACTATAGCATGTAGGGGTATGCGTGTATGTACTTTTAATTCGAGAACATCAAAGGGTTGTAACATTTCCTTTAAATATATAGCCTATTAAAAGCAAGCAGAGTCATAAAAACAGTGAGCAGATTCCCAAGCAATCCAGGCATCTCCCACCAGCTTTATCTCAGCTTCCAGCTAATTCCCCAGAAAGACTTCTAGCTTCCCAGACAGTCTATTCAAAATTGCATGTTACTATGTTAACAGGAGGGATGCAGTGGCGCAGTGGGTTAAACTGCTGAACTGCTGGGCTGGTTGATCGAAAGGTCGGCAGTTTGAATGCGCTCACGGGGTGAGCTCCTGTGCTTCATCCCAGCTCCTGGCAACCTTGCAGTTCGAAAGCATACAAATGCAAGTAGATAAGACGGTACCACTTTGGTGGGAAGGTAGCAGTGTTCAGTGCACTTTGGTGTTTAGTCATGCTGGCCACATGACCATGGAAACTCTCTGCCAACAAACACTGGCTCTCTTGGCTAGGAAACGGAGATGAGCACCACCCCCTAGAGTCAGACATGACTGGACTTTAATGTCATGGGGAAACCTTTACCTTTATGTTAACAGGTTTCACCTTAGCATAAGAAGAACCTGTCTGATGTTCATGGGCACATATTGTAGAAATATTGTGCATGATTTGGTGAAAGTGATTCTTAAAAGAAAAAAAATGCTGGGAACTATAATGGCCTGGGAATCAAAACCAACCAATAGCTGGTGTTTCCCAGCTATTTAAAAAATCTGCAGTATGCATAATAATATTGCTATGGATTACATGGAGGAGGGGCATCCTGTATCTAACAACTAGTTTCATTTCTGTGTGGGTACACATTAGTGATAAAGAAACGTGTCAGTTTCTGTGCTCCTTAGTTTCTCAGTTTTCATCTCCATTTCTGCATTAGTTTGTAGGGGTTGGAGTTAAGCCCAGACAAAAACACACATTGCTATATACATTCTCTAATATATGCATTAGCTTAAGAAATAGTGTGCCACTTTTTAAAAAATAATGAAGAATTAAATCTGAAACATTCCTAACTATGCTTACTTTTGAAGTAAGCCCCACTAAACTGAGTAAGACATTTCCTTAGTTAAATATACTGAGGATTTAAGCCAAATTCACATCCTTGGATGATAGTCTGTAAAAACCTATGCCAGTATAAGTTCGTTAGTCTTGAAGGTGCCAAAAACTGTGTTGTTTTTCTGAGCGAATTGATTTTAAGTTTCTTCCAGGCATTTAATTCTGTATACAACATACATAATGCTTCACAGGGCTGAGATGATGGTCAACTTCCTGAGAAGTAACAGATGCTTCTATATCAATTATAGTGAGATAAGTTTTTTTAAAAAAGCAGAAGGCACCGGTATTTGTGCATGTATCTGTGTGTGTGGGCGCGTGCGTGCGTGCATAGTGATAATAATACTTAGAGGGTCATTATAAGGATTACAATGGCTGAACTAACAAGTGGATGCAAAATAAATACCTGCTGTTGTACAATATAGTTTCCTTTCTCATACATATATAGTATATATACACATAAACTAACATGTGGACATAGAAATAAATTAAAGCCTCTCATCTCCTCCTCTGATGCTGCTGTGACACATGCATGCAAATGTTTGTTTGAAAACAAACCTTTTAAAATTTAGAACTTGTTTTTCTCATATTTAAGCAGTTTTAATAATGAATGGACTAAAACTCCTTATGATTAATCAATTAAGATTTGTTTTAATCAGGTCACAGTCCTAGCAAATAGTGTGAAATGGATGCATTCTGCATGACACATGAGAAGTATATCTTCCCCTGCCTTTTCCTGCTCATTCCTCTCACTGGAAAAATCTTTTATACCAAATTTCATAGCAATAAGACCAATCATCTTGATTGCATAAAGAATATAATTTTTGTGATTCTGACGGAGAATACAACATGCCCCAGCTGTAGGACAAGTCCTGTAACGGTAATGGTACTGAAATGAAACTGAAATGAAAGCCTGTTGGCTACCCTTGTTACAATAACATTCTAATCTATAGTTTGACGGAGATGGTGCTTTGTTTGCAAAAACAGGGTTGTGAATAACCTTGTCCATTGTAGGCGTCTGTTGTAGCTGATCGTTCTGTTGGCTAAATTTTTTATGTATAATAAGGATAAAACCTTCTGACCAAGTTAGAGTTAAATATGGTGCATAGGCACTGTCATTTTAATTGGAGTACTTTAATTTCCACTTTGAGTCGTATTTTTCTTTGCATGCTTGTGTATTCTTTTCAGAAAAATGGAGCACAAGCTTGTGATAGACAAGGCTTAAAATAGAACTCATTTATATTGATGAGATAATTTGCAAAACTGAAATTAGTGCATTTTTCATCATTTTGATCTGGCACTAGCAAACAGGTGAACAGTTATGCATCGCTTTCAGAAATTCTTAGCACATTATGTATTCAAGCAAATAGAAACTGAGAATCCAGATGTTTACACCCTGGAAAATTGTGTTAGTTTTTGGTAAGATTTTATTACAATATATACATTATTGAGGCACTTCTGTCATATTCTGGGGAGTAGTTTCTTGGACTGACAGGACTGAATCTATCAAAGTACATTCAAAGGTACACTTGGGAGCCATGGAATTGAGGGCAAAATCCTATGCATGTTTAGATAAGACAAAAAAAGAAGTCTTGCAACTCTTAGCATGCCTAGGATGCCGGAAGATGTGGGAGTTTTCCCTGACTAATCATGCATAGTAGTTTCAGTAGTTTAGTTTTCCTCAAAAGTTACTTACACAGATTGCTACCGCAGAGTTGCAGGCTGAACAGGGTGTAGATGTATCACGGCTGCGGCCAGGAGGTCTGTTGGAGTTATGCACTATGACCCAAAGCAGGCTTACTAAGAAAATTAGTCTACAGTCAAATTTTTCTATGCAATTTTCTAAAGAAGATCAAACTGGTAAATAGAGTAGGAGAAAAATAGCAACCAAACCCATCTTTATAGAGAAAGAAAGATAATTCATCAGTCCTGTGTGTGAAAACAGTATCTTTCATGGATACAAAATTATGCACACATTTACATGGCTTACACAGAAATGTAGCAATATCATGGCACTCCAGTTGGACAGAATATTGTGCCAACATTTTCCCACTGAAAGTTGGTTATTTGGTTTTTAAACCCTTTCTCAGTCTGTATCTTAAAATACAGCATCACATTAACTGGCTGCGAGAAGCAGTGATTAAATTCAGTTTAAATGTAAAATAATTTGTACTGGTAAGAAAAATTTAATTATCTAAGCACCATGCAGAGCTCAAAGATAAAGATAGTATGATGTCTTCAGTTTTGCTAGTTTTATACGCAGCTGATCACAGGAAAATAGAACAGTGCAGGAGTCAAACTTCAAATGTGTGCATGGAAACATAAAAGGGCATTGTGGAGTAGGCTTTTTAGTATTTAGAGATTTAGTGAAATGGTTAAATGGGACTGTACGTAGCTTTACAATTCAAAGTCTGTTAAGATGTTTTGTTGTAGTAGTTTTCAAGCTATATTAGGAAGGTCACTTTGCAAAGGTGTCCACCCCCTGCCCTCAAGCTGCAGCTGTTTTGGGTCTCTATATCCTGTGAGGTATTTCCTGTTTTCTCATTGATGTACAGGGTAAAAAAAGGTATCAGTGGAGAAACTATTCAGTAAGCAATTGAGAGAGGATCCTATCTGACAACAGATCTAAGCAACATTTACTAAACCAGTGGCAAAAGAAATCATGCCATGTTATAATTGGCTTGCTGTTCTTCTGCAATTAAGGGCAATGCATCATTAAAGATCTGTAAAAGTCTTCTTTTGTCAACTAGATCCATGCAGTCACAGTCTGAAGGACTCTAATGTTTCAGCATTTTGAGCAGCAGTTAATTCTATGCTATGGAACTGTTAATCAAACCTAAGTTCATCCTGAATGCCACAGAATCTAATTCTGTTTTATTAGACACCTGTTTCCTTAAAATAAGTTTAGCCAATTCTCATGTGAGCTGTTTTTCCCTGTGCAGTATGTTGTTCTTTGTACCAATAATAAGCACGTTGAAATACTGTTTTCTTCTGCTTTTAGCAAGAATGAGCACCTATAATAAGTGGGATGAGTAGAAAATTCCCCTTTGTACTTTTGCATTGCAAGTCACCTCTTGAGTATGAATTCATCCTTTTTCCTGATTTGTTTTCATATGTAGAGTAGAATTTGCTTTTTACTCCTACTTAAATTGTTGTGTGTCACCACCCTCAGAATATATCCTTTTCAAATGTCATTTTCTTTTAAGAACTGCCAGAGGCTCTCTCAATTGAAGAGGAAATACAAGAAACAGAGTCCTGGGCCAAACCTCTTGTCTACCTTTGGCAGAACAGGGCACCAAATTTCACTGCTGAAAAGGAATACAATGCATCTGTTGCCAAACTGGAACCTTATTGTGCCATATGCACACTCCTCAGGCCTTACTATAAGGTAAGGAAGCTCCATATAATTTAAGAGGTATTTATGCATGTCTTCTCTAAGCTAAACTATTAAAAAACCAAACCAAACAAAGCCGCAATGAAGGCTTGTAAAAAGCTGCTCTGTAGCAAAGCAGCAGATTTTCTTTTTATCCTTTACAAGTAGATGGATTGAAAGGTATATGGTCCTTATAGCTTATCAAAATAGATATTGTGATCAAAAGGAGAAGCAAAGAGTCTTGATTCCCACCACCAAAAATGAAAATTGTGCAATTTCTGCTCTCAGTGACACACCTGGTAGACTTAGCTTTACATGATGATTGAGATTTATGAAACATATATAATTACTAGAAACATTCACGGATCTGATGCAGGACTATATAAATTCAAACTGCTCTCTTGATTTACTATCTCTGCTTCATGCAAAGCTGATTTTCCTAAATAGATTCAATTGGAATTGTTACCACTTGATGCACACAAGATATTCAGTTGCAAAATATTTGTATTGTAACACAAATGTTAAGTAAACAAAAACAAAATATGGCACTTATTGGTTGCCTAAATATTCTTCCACTTTGCTCTGAGATGCCTCAGTAAGGCCAGGTACAACTCATACTTCCAGAGTACTATGGGTAGTTACACTCAAGTCTGTGTGCAATTCCGCTGCCACATGGTCTCAATTTAAATTCACATGTTTCTGATTGGCCCTAGAGCTTGTCAGAGAGTATATTTAAACAAAATGTGTTGTGAAGTTTAAGTGGCTATCAAAAACAACATTGAGATAAAGCTATGCAGAAATGCCAATCAGGGTTGGGGTAATTTAAAAAAATTCCAAACTATGACTATTACCTTGAGTACTTTTAAATCCATTATTACAAAATAGAATATGACTCAACTCTGAATCTGCCTAGAGAAGGTCATCCACAAAAATTCAATAAGTAGTTAAGGAGGTTACAGAGAAGTAACCATGCAGCCAATAGTAACTCTGAAGGAGATAGAGAGATCCATATCTGACAAGGGTAAAACCATCCATTGGATGATTATTGCTCATGTGTTCCACAAAGCTGGCCTTTATGGAAGAGTCGCAAGAAGAAAGCTTTTGTTGAAACAAACGCATATCAAAGCCCATTTGACATTTGCCAAAAGGCACAGCAAACGTGGGGAAATGTTTGCTGATCTGATCAAACCAGAATACAACTTTCTGGCCTTGGTTCCATGTTCTTTGCATCCCACAAAGCTAGTAGTGCTTATTGCTCTGAGAACACCATCCCTGCAAAGAAGCATGGTGGTGACAGCAGCATGCTGTGGGGATGGATTTGCTCAGTTTGAACTGGGAAGCTGGTCAAGATTGAGAACCAGATAGATGGAGCCAAACACAGGACTGTTATAAAGGAAAAACTCTTTCAGGCTTCAGGGGAGCTGGGACTTTCAGCAGGAAAGTGAAACACAGAACCAAAGGAACTCTGGAGTGGTTTAAAAACAAGAATGTCTTGGAATGATGTAGCCAAAGTCATTCAATCTGATCTGTGGCAATACTTGAAAATTGCTATTCAGTCAGTGCCCATCCAACTGGACAGATCTAGGATGCCCATCCAGGTGGATGCCTGTCTTATTGAACAGATCTGGAGCAGTTTTGGCAGAATTGGCAAACACTGCAGGATCCAGATATGTAAAGATGATAAGAGACTTATCCAAGAATATCTGCAGCTGTAATTGCTGCCAAACATGCTTCTATCAAATATCAACTTGGAGATGTGTTTGAAAACTGCAACCAAGAAGTGCCAGTTCATTTTGTTGACTTAATTTTTCTACCACAATAAAGAAATTTGTACCACACAGTGTTGAGTATCTTGTGTATATCCAGTGGTTACATTATCAATTAAATCCATTTCTATCCCAGGTTGTAACCCAGAAAAATGTGGAAAGGTCTAAAGGGGTGAATACTTCTGCAAGGTACTATATTAGACATTCAACACATCACAAACACATATTTCAGAATCATAATGAGATATTCAAAGGCCTGGGAGAATGAAAAGCCTTACCCTAATATTGAAAGGACAACAATGTGGAGTGAACCTTTCTAAAGAAAGCTGAGAAGATTTTCCAGACTTGAGTTTGAGAGGGAATTTCTTGACTTCTAGTGTACAATTGACATTAAACTCTACATTTAATGGTGTTTTTGCCATTGCATTTCAATGCACCTTTGATATATCAAACACTGGTGAAATAAGAGTCCTCACAAATTCCTAAGTATTTCCAGAGGTTTCATTCTGATGAATGAAAAATATCCTTCACTATGATACACCTACAAGGGGGAGGTTCCTCCTTTTCTTTCTTTCTGTTCTCCTAGTTCTGCCCCCTTAGTTCCTCCCTACATTTGTTTCTCCCCTTGTAACACATTCCCATTTACTAGTGTGATTGTGAATTAACCTTTAGTGAAGACAGGAGAAAGCACTAGTTGTCACAACAGCCCCCCAAGACAGAGTCACAAACGTTGAATCAAGAAGACTCCACAGTGGTGCTGTCCTGCAACAACTGTGCAGTGTTTCTTTCTTTTTTAACCTGAGGGCAACATGGCCTACACATGCTACAAGTGCAAGCTAGTAGCCCTGTTGGAAGAAATGGTGAGAGAACTGGAGCAGCAAGTTATCTACACTCAAGATAATAAAAGAAGATGAAGAGTTTTTGGACGGAGTGGTGAAGCTGCAACAGCTAAGTGTAGTCCCGAAGCAAGAAGTGCATCAACAAGCAGAGGCAGAAGACGAGAACCCCAAGAGAAGGGAATACAGGAAACTCCTGGGAAGATGCAGAAGAACTAGAAGATATTCTGTACCACTGGAAGCACTCAAACTGGTTTAAGCGATTTGAGGAAGAGATGAATGTGAAACTTACTACAAAAAGTGACTATGCTATATTTGAATTCTCAGTTATAAAGAAGACAAAGGTTAACTGCAGCCAAACATATACCGTGGACTTCAAGAAAGCCAACTTTAACAAACACTGATAAAGGAGGTGCCGTGGCAACTCACTTATAAGAGAAAAGGTCTCCAAGAGGGAAACCTTGGAAAAAAAGAGAAAAAAAGAGATCCAAGCACAACAAGAAAAAGTATAGAAGACAAAAGAGGAAGCCCCAGTGGATCCATAAAAGGTTAAGTGACAACCTGAAAGAGAAAAAGAACATATATGGGAGGTTGAAGCACAGCCAGGCCACAAAAGAAGAATATAAACAAATAGCAAGGAATTGCAGGGATATAGTGCCCCTCAGCATTCTGATAAGCAAATTAACAAAAAAGAAGACTAGATAGAGAAACTGTTAGGTGGATCAACAGTTGGCAGCTAAATTGTACACAAAGACTGCTCATCAATGGTACCTTCTCAAACTGGAGGGAGGTAACTGGTGGGGTGCCACAGGGTTCAGTCCTAGGCTCATTACTCTTCAACATCTTTATTAATAATTTAGATGAGGAAGTACAAGGAAAAATAATCAAATTTTCAGAAAATACACAACTGGGTGGAATTACAAAAACCCTTGAATAAAGAATGAAGATCCAGAGTGATCTTGATAAGCTTGGACGCTGGACTGAAAGCAACAAAATGAGATTCAGTAGGGATAAGTGCCATGTCCTCCACCTAGGAAAAAGAAACCAAATGCATCAATTCAAAATGGGGAATATGTTGTTCAGCAGAACTGAAAAGGAAAAAGATCTTGGTGTTATTGCACCACAGGCTAAATATGAAATGCGGCTTCAAAATGGGCAAATGCTATTTTGGAATACATTAATAGAAGTGTTACTTCCAAATCACGAAAACTAGGCATTCCCCTATACTCCTCACTAGTCAAACCTCATCTGGAATACAGTGTCCAGTTCTGGGCCTCAAGATTTAAGAAGGATGCAGTTAAATTAGGGCCTACAGGAAGGCAACAAAAATGATACAGGGTTTGGAAACACTGCCCTGTGACGAGAGACTGAGAGAAGACTGGGTGGAGGGGGGATATGATATCCCTCTATAAGTACCTCAAAGGCTGTCACAAAGAGGAAAGTCAAGATCTCTTCTTGCTGATACCAGAATGCAGGACATGGTATAATCAAGTTCAGCTGCAACAACCCTGATTCAGGCTAGACATCAGGAAAAGCTTCCTCATTGTCAGAGCAATATGACAGTGGAACCAGCTGCCTAGAGAGGTGGTGGGCTCTCCCACACTGAGGACATTCAAAAGAAACTGGACAGCCACCTGTGTTGCATGGTGTAAATTGGTGCCCTGCACCAGCAGGGTATTGGACCCGATAACCTTCTTGGCCCTTCTAGCTCTCCTATTCTCTGAATTTATGATAGCCGCCACATTCTTTTCTTTGTAGAGCTTCCTACTCTTGCAAAATAATCCTCCTTCCAATTCCCTTCTCTCTTTTTTTCTAGTAGGAAACACTCCTTATTGAACTTCTGCCCAAATGCTGGAGAGGCAAAGAGTGCTCAGACTACTTTCTCTTCTTAGACCATGTCCAGCAGATAGGGAAGAAAACCATGATTCAAGAGGTTGCTATGCATTCTGAGAGACAGTTTCCATGCCTTTCCCCAGCAGTAGTGTGGCTAGATACAGAGAATAAGAATGCAGGATGGGAAAGCAGGATTCCTTAAGCGGCAGCAGTAGCAACTCTAAGGTGGTTCCTAGAACTGCTGCTCCTTCCTTGGAGGAAATGTGTGTTTGTGTGAGAGCAACATGTATGGCCATCTTCCCATTTTTCCAACTAAAAAAAGGTAATAAAACCTGAATGTAGTTACAGAATTTAGGAGAATTTAAGTCAGCAATAGCATATAGGCTGCTAAAACTTGACTGTGAACTTAGCAATCATCCAAACAGTCAAATGTTGAAAAATAGTGAAAGATATTTAAGAAGGAATCTGAATTGGCGTTATCATCTTTTAAAGGGAATGGGAAAATTTATCAAACTAAAGAAAAAGAGCAAATATCTTTCCATTTAAATATATTTTTCAGCCTGACAAAACTAATGAAGAAATCTATGCTTCCTCAGAAACAAAACAAAGAGAAAAGTTTGTGGCCAGCGAAAAGACAAAACCACTTATTCCAGAGATATGTTTTATTTATAGTGAAGAAAATACGGAAAACTATCCATCTAATCGCCTTGTTGAAGAAGATGGAACAAGTCTGCTGATATCCTGTGCAAAGTGTTGTGTACAGGTCCATGCAAGTAAATATAAATATTATAGTTCCAAGTAAAATGTTAGATTTCAATTTTTACTTATACTATTACAATCTGTGAGTAACCACTATAGTTCAACTGGTATTTTGAGGCGCTTTAGAACAAAGAGGAAATGTATGAATTTATTCACATATATTCAAGTGTTTAAAATTATATAGAACTCATCTATACCAAAAGGGGAATATTCAAAAATTTGTAAACTTCTATTGAATTTTCAGGTGCAATTAAGTCTATGAAACTCACAGTTTACACTTTCTGACTGATCCCTCTCCCTGCTGCCCGTCCTTGAATCAGCACCCTATATTAGCCATGAAATGGTAACCAGAAAGGGCTGCTTACATTCGTAAATGCTCTTGTGTGTTATCTGTGAACAAAATTGGGACAAGTCAACAGCCCACCCTGATTCTCTTGACAATTACTTATTTGCATTCTGCCTTTTCCCTCTCAAGACAGCTAACATAGCTCTCTTCCTCCTTTCAATCTTATCCTCACAACAGCAACATTGAGAGTTAATTTGGGCTGAGAGTCCGTGACTGGCTCAAAACCATTCAGTTCATTCCATGGCTGAGTGGGAACAAGAACCCAGGTCTCTCGAGCCCCAGCCCTGCACTCTCCCCTACACAACACTGACATAGACAGAGTGACTGCCTCTCATTCCTGGCTGACAGGTGGCCTCAAGCGCAGAAGTCTGTCAGTCAACTGGGAATGAGCAGCTGACAGGTTATCTTTGAAAGGTAGAATCCTGCCCTTTAAAGTTCTGTAAAATAAATAAATCAGTATACTGATTTAAAGATAAATTATGCAAAACAGAGATATATTCAAGAAGTTTTTTTCATTGTAGATGCCTTTTAAATGGCCAGTTAGGTCAAATGTTTTCAATATTTGGGAGGTGAGGTATTCCATCCTCCCATGTCATGGTTTACACATAGATCAGTGTTCAGAAAGTTATAATTAATCAAACTGTTCCACTATGTTTTTTCAATACAAAAAGAGATCTCGGCAACTATTACATTACTTAGTGCTAAAATACCCACGCTGCTCTTTTACGGAGCTGCTGGTTGGGTCAGGAGAATGTCTTCAGATATTAACAACATGCACACCAGCTTCTTACAATCCCTTTTGCACATCCTTAGATGAGTTCCCAATGTGGAGACGGGACAGCGTGCATTGGGAACACTGCCTGGCTGGCAGTGTTAAAGCTTCCCCTTAAGATATATATCTTAAGAACAGCAGTGGGACTTCTGTCTTATCTTCCTGAAAATAGTTACAATAGTGCTTGGAAGAAGTGTGTAGCTCAAAGACCTTGTTGTATTAGGCTGTAATCTTTCCTTCTCAAAATGGGAATTGATCCTGCTGTTCGCTCTAATAAAGCAAAGACTAGAATATTTCCTTTCAAGACCTTCCTGCTTCTTGTGCAAGTTTGTTCACCTTGTTCTTTAGGTATTCTTTATGAAAAACCCATGTTAGCTAATTCACATCTAGCTAAATAAGGCTTTCCCTTTGACCCAATTTAATGTTACCCTCTTGCATGATGTTATTTCCTTGCCACTGAGGGTTTCTCTGTGGAACAGCTAGAAGGTGCAATCTGTAGAACATATTCTCTTGCTCTGCATCTTTTACATCAGAGCTCAGCAACAAATGATTGCCTCTTCAATGGCACTTTACCAAGTAGATCAGCCCAATTTTATGTCAAATACCTGCTGTCAGATAAAATTAGATCATTAACACTTGTGGCCAAATTCCTGGTAGTAGCAGTGAGAACAAAGAAGCAACTATCTGTTGTGGAAAGTTGTTTCTGGAATCTCATTGTATCTAGTTTCCTACCATTGTGTGGTTGAGCTGTTGTTATTTATGCTGGTGTGTGTGGGAGAGACTGCTTTTATTTCTGGCCTGATTAGCACAATAAAAAGACCTGGCTCTCCCTTGCTGACAGGCAACCACACATGTGTGGGGCTATCTGTTAGCCAGAAAGGCAGTCAGGCTGTCTGGGCAAGCAGATTTGAGGTGAGTGCCAGGTAAGGGTGGGCTCTGCGACTTCCTCTAATTTTCCTCACCAAAATCAAGCAGGGCTGTTAACTTCTGTGAATGAGTTGCCCTGTTCAACTTCACTTAATATTCCTGGCTTTTGTTGTCCAACCTATTTTAACAAGTATATGTGTGCAGCTAAAACTGTGAAACTAAAACTGTGTTTTAGTTGTAATTTTAACATATGAGCAAATATTTGGTATAAGTAGACATGCAGCCTTGCATAGTGAAAGGTTTCTTAAAGCTAACATGGCTGGTCATAGGAATGAGAACTGTTGCTAGTATAGCTAGCAGTATGCCAGTGTGACAACCAGACTTACTCTTGGGAAATGTTTATTCTTCACTGTTTTTAATCACACAGTAGGCGAATCCACTGTCTCTCTTTAATGGCTAAGTTGTCTGTTTAGCTAGAAGATAATGCAGTACAGAATCTGTTTATCACCTCAGCTCTGTTATTATAGGTTGCTATGGTGTTCCTTCCAATGAAATCCATGATGGATGGCTGTGTTCTCGATGCAAAAGAGGAGCCTGGACAGCTGTAAGTTATATATATTGTTCACGGTCCACCCAAATCTCTTGAATAACTAATTCTCTGTAAAATAAATGACATAGAAGTGCCTTCTTCCAGTCTGTCTGCCAAGTCTTCTTCCCATAGTTGAGAAAAGAACACTTATTTTTGTTTTCACAATGATGTTATGGTGCAAAATTATTGTTATTACATATTGGTTTCTGATGAGGATATAATGTTCATTGAGAAAACAACCAAAGCTGAATGTATTGTAACTAAAAATACAGAACAGAATATTGTTTTTCCCTGGGGACTTTCTGTCAGCTGTTGTGCTCTAACTGGATAGGCTAAGAGCCTCCTAACTCTTCCTGGTGTAGTTCAGTCTTCTTGACAGAGCTTGCTAAATTCCTGAACACTACAGTAATTATTATAATAATTGTGTGGAAATGTAGGAAGGGCCACCAATAATTTATTATCTCCTCCTGTAATTACAGGGGTTGATTGAAATTTTAGGATTTGATGTCAGTGGAAGGGTAAATGTTAAAGTATAGAGTACAAGACTGAAACAATTGCTGAATGAAAAACACAGAAGTGTTTGATATGTAAAATAATTGTAGGGCATCTACTACATCCCCCAAAGGCAGGACCATCCATCCAGCAATCCTCCCAAAGGTCTATGCTGTGAAGACCATAGTGTACCACAAACAGTGAACAAGTGCATGGCAGAAGACCCATCAGGCACTTGCTGAGGATATAACTTCTCAGTAGCTGCATCTACATTGTACCTGTCATCTGCCATCCTTTGTGTAACACCCCCTCCCATATATTGTCATCCACATGTTTCTGTGTCATCCACATGTTTTTCAGCCCTCATTTGTGATGGTGGGGTCGCCTAAGTGGATGTGTTCTGTGTTTGTTTTTCATAAAATGAATACATCTGTAACACTACCTTGTACAGGGTAGACAGATGCAAGGCGGAAGGGAAGCGCTATTGTGTGTGTAATTAAACATTTTCTGCTTGTGATTCCTGCCTGTTTTATTGCTTCATATTTTGAGTAAACGTAGAAGGAATTTGGTCAAGTAGGTTGGTATTGCTGGCCGATACAGTGCTTAACTGTGTGGAAGTCCTGTCTAAATTCCATTTCCAGGTAATAACAGAAGAGTAATGTTTCAGTGACTGTAAAGAATTCTAGTGTGGGAGCCACAATGACTCAAATGCTAACACAGGCAAGTGGGTTAAGCTTCAAGTTACAGAGGAAGGCATTCTACTTCCCCTGCCACCTAGTCATCATCTGTTTCCTAACATTTGTTCAAAATCTAGTCCAAAATTATGAGCGCTGTATCTCAGTCATCTATAAGGCACGCCAAAAGAGAAATCTACTCTTAGAATATCATACCATCTATCTCAGATAGTAGAAAGAAGCAATCATTTTTAAGAGAGCTTGAAGATAAGATGGAACCTTTTTTACCCATTGTGTTTATACACATACCTTTATTCCATTAGCAATCCAAGAACCCAAACCTGCCCATTGGGTGGGAAACAAGCTGGAGTTCTCAACTCAGGTGTCATGCTAAGCCAGGGATGGAGAGCTCCTGGCTTATTTAATTATTCCCACTGGCAGAAAGAGCCAACAAGTATGATCTAGCTACATATATTAGCACAGAATGATAATGGCTTGCTTGTGGTTTCAGTGACGTGTGGAGTGGGCCATTGCCTCCTTCAGCTCTTTGAGAAAATAAACTATTCTCTGTCTCCAGACTGAGTTGATCCCATATAACCAAAGGAATAGGCAATAACAAAATGTAACTCTGTGTGTATTTCCTGTAGATGTGTGTTGAGTGTAAGGACCGTTTTCTGAACTTCGTGGCTATAGTGAGGTATTAGAAAGGAGAATTATAGCAAAATGTGGTGTTGAGCACATAATTTAGCATTCATTTCATAAAAACAACATTCCAGCCCTCAGAGTCATGACATCTCAGAAACTAAAGGGTTTGCTGTTATTTTCTGTTTCACCCCTCCCTGTTGTTGTTGTTAGTCGTGAAGTCGTGTCTGACCCATCGCGACCCCATGGACAACATTCCTCCAGGCCTTCCTGTCTTCCACCATCCCCCAGAGTCCACTTAAGCTCACAGCAACTGCCTCAGTGACTCCATCTAGCCACCTCATCCTCTGCCGTCCCCTTCTTCTTTTGCCATCTATTGTTCCCAGCATTAAGCTCTTCTCCAGGGAGTCCTTCCTTCTCATTAGGTAGCCAAAGTATTTGAGTTTCATCTTTAGTATCTGGCCTTCTAAAGAGCAGTCAGGGTTGATCTCCTCTAGGACTGACTGGTTTGATCGCCTTGCGGTCCAAGGGACTCGCAGGAGTCTCCTCCAGCACCACAATTCAAAGGTCTCAATCCTTCAGTGCTCAGCCTTCCTTATGGTCCAACTTTCACAGCCATACATTGCAACTGGGAAAACCATAGCCTTGACTGTACGCACTTTTGTTGGCAGGGTGATGTCTCTGCTTTTTAGTATGCTGTCTAGATTTGCCATAGCTTTCCTCCCCAGCAGCAAGCATCTTTTAATTTCTTGGCTGCAGTCCCCATCTGCGGTGATCTTGGAGCCCAGGAAAATAAGATCTGTCACTACCTCCATTTCTTCCCCATCTATTTGCCTGGAAGTGAGAGGACTGGATGCCCTGATCTTAGTTTTCTTAATGTTGAGTTTCAAGCCAACTTTTGCACTCTCCTTCACCCGCATCAAGAGGCTCTTTAGTTCCTCTTCACTTTCTGCCATGAGAGTGGTATCATCTGCATATCTGAGGTTGTTGATGTTTCTCCCAGCAATCTTAATTCCAATTGGTGATTCATCTAGCCCCACCTTTCTCATGATGTGCTCTGCATATAAGTTGAATAGGCAGGGCGACAGTATACAGCCTTGCCAAACTCCTTTCTCAATTTTGAACCAATCAGTGGTTCCGTGTCCAGTTCTCACTGTTGCTTCTTGACCTGTGTATAGGTTTCTCAAGAGACAAATAAGATGGTCTGGTACTCCCATCCCTTTAAGAACTTGCCACAATTTGTTGTGATCCACACAATCAAAGGCTTTAGCATAGTCAATGAAGCAGAAGTAGATGTTTTTCTGGAACTCCCTAGCTTTTTCATGATCCAGTGTATGTTGGCAATTTGATCTCTAGTTCCTCTCCCTCTTCGAAATCCTGCCTGTACTTCTGGTAGTTCTTGGTCCACATACTGCTGGAGCCTAGCTTGTAGGATTTTGAGCATAACTTTGCTAGCATGTGAAATGAGTGCAATGGTGCGGTAGTTTGAACATTCTTTGGCATTGCCCTTCTTTGGGATCGGAATGTAAACTGACCTTTTCCAATCCTGTGGCCACTGCTGAGTTTTCCAAATTTGCTGGCAAATTAATGTGTCCATATTTTCCCTTAATGTATCTCTACAAATGTTGGAATTCCCTTCAAAACATTTTGAGGGCTATATTACCTTCTGCATGAACTGAGAACAGAAAACATTGTCAAATGTTGGGGAAGAACTTTTCAGGATGCATAAAAAGTGACTTCCCCTCGCCACCCCCTCATTTAGTGGTGCTAGAAAACACACACACATGCATATATATTCTCACAGCAAGGTAATTTCTTAATATTTTATGGGAAGTAAAGAAAGGGGATAGAGTAAACAAGTTGGAGGAGGAGATAATATAAACAGTTTTTTTTAAAGATTCTTTTTTGCCTTTGGTAAAGAAGAAAACATGAGGTGGCAGGTAAGGTGTGCATATTAACCAAGGCAGGGAAATAAAAAGGCAAATGCCAATTTAGAGCAGATTATTACAAAAATAGTGATTCACATATATAGGTAGTTCAATGTTTGCTCTGTGAATTGCTATTAAAATGTGCCCAGAGTCAATTTCTGTATCTGTAATATGTTTTCATTTTAGCAGGGTAGGCATTCTTTCCAAGCAAAATTGAATTTTTCCTCTCTTGCTGGCCACCAGAGAAAATTGTGAAAGGTTCCTTATCAGGCAATCAGAAGTTCCAGGACTTATGAAACTGCTTTTGTTACAGCTCCTGCAGAGTAGCGGGTGGGTGTAGAGGGGAGGGGGAATGGCAAAAGTCAATCCCAGGAACTGACAGGGTGTCTTTTAAGTCAGAATGTAATTATCAGTTCAGTTCAGTGAACAGAGTTAGACAGGACTGCTGCTCTAACAACAAGTTTGTCAGTTTTCTTTCAGCCGAGGGGCAGGTGTGGTACCTCTAAGCATTAGTACAGAGAATTATTACATTTCTTTCTGTGGGGAACCTGATCATGTTCAAAATGGTGAGGGATGTCAAGTTACCCAGATCTTTCTGATCTAACAAGGTCTCTGCTTTCCAAAACCAAGTTATAAAGCTAAGCTGCTAATATAGCCTAAATCTGGATTAGGTTCACTAATTTTAATGAAGGCGTCTCAGAGCCAAGGATGAACACTGCTACTATCTAGTTGGTTAAGCTGGCAGTTCTGGAATGCTGCCTTTGAGAACACAAAGCATATTTGTTGTGAGCAGGTCTCCCCCTCCTTTTCCATTCTAGCAGACTCAGAGGAAACTTTAGAAGCACAGTCTTTTTACTTGAAACTCAACAGGTTACAGAACAATATAAATCAGTGCAGTGTTCTCTTTGAAATGTGAGAGAAGCAGCTGCCCATGTAAACAGCTGAATCCAACTGAAACTTTCTTTCTTCCCCCTCTTTTCAAAAAGATTCTGATGCTGCCTTCAGAGTAGAATCCTGCTGCTTGAGGGCTGGATGGTGGGAATGTGGGCATTACTTAATTGGTCTGCTCCTTTCGCTGATTGTCTCCTGGCCAGGTCAAAGGATTCCCTTTCAATCTGCTCTCCCCACCCCTGGTCTGAAAGTCTCCTTCCTTTTTCAAGGCAAGATGACTCTCACAATCTGCTTGAAAGAATCTTCACAGTCACCTGCCCAACTCTGCCCCCCTTCCTCCAAGTCCATATTTTACATATCTATCTGGGCAGATGGTAATGTGCTAGAG